ATGGCATCGAAATGTATTTCCTCTTCTGATGCTAAGAGGTTAAAGCAGATACGATGGCAATATAGATATCATCCTTACTGAAGGAAAACGAAAAGATTCGAGTACAGTTAACGTTTCTAATCGTGTGAAAACATACGGTACGTGTTTCTGCATGCGTCTGTGGCATCCGAGACGTCTGGAACGTCGGCCATTATTCATTCGACCGTTCTATCAATCCGTCGCTTCCGAGCAGGAAATTATGAATCGCGTGTCTAGCGAATATCGAACGTCTGACGTTGGTCTTTGAAAACAATTTTGCGACAATGCCCTCCTCGGCTGACTTCTTGATTGATGTTTAATTAACGGCGCTGAAAATAATCGAAGGCTGGCATCTCGAACGGTTCCCGAAGACACGCTCGTTCATTGGTCGATCGCTAAGTAACGAAGCTTCCCTGACGCTTTCAAAGGTGAAGTGTACACACAATTTTCAGCTTGAAAGCTGCCACCAAACGATTCTGTATGGAATCCATTAGTATTACGTTACTTTTATCGGAAATTCGGTGCTTTTTACCCGCGTGCGGAAGTTAATTGAAACGATCTCGTACCACCAAATTCAACGAATATAAACCAGTATCGATCGGGTACAGGCTGTTCCATTTATTTCGCTTAAATATTTTATTTACTGATGCAAAATGTATTTTAATCTTAGCTTCATTTCGGTTGTCGGTCGTTTTTTATAAAGTGGTTAATAGAGTGGTTATACTTGTGTAATACAGCTGACTGGTTTAAGAAGTTACATGACTTTACAGAATAAATAGACGCAGCTGTCTTTTGCATGGACATATAGAAGAAATATCAAGTTCAAGTAGAAGTTCGTTTTTTAAATGAAACTCAACATAATGTTTAATCATACTCAAATAAAAATATCTTCTGAACTATTCATCTTTCGTCAAGAATGACTTAATATTTTTTATCAAAAGAATAAGCTGCATCGAACAGTACATTCAAAAATATATAATTGCAACTGAAAAGACGTACTTGACACACGTAGAAGAAAATGACTTTTAACAGATAATTTACCTCCGGGGTTGCTGTAAAATACTTCTTCGTGGCATCAATATTTTCGAAGATATTCGATGCATATTTTACTGAGACTCTGTGTACCTCGGGTCCTTGATTCTCGGTGGCTGGGTCTACCGTGACCCAGACCTACGAAACTGCAGTGCTGTATCGATTGATATACACTCAGACTTTAACAACATGATGTCCTATTTAAACCGCAGTTTTCACGCAATGGAATGTTTGCGTTGTTCTACACACGTGATTAGTACCAGACATTCTATAATATTTATTTTAGATACATTCTTTTGAACTTATTAAATTTTATATGAAAGATCTGCATAGTATATACAGCAAGATTGAGAAACACTGTTCTAAATAAACTTTCATACTAAACAATAATGATATCTAAGTTGTAATATTTAAGGAGTAATATCTAACTAAGCAGTAATGTGTAAATAAATATGGGTGTTTAAAAAGAAATTGAGAATCCCTGAGAGTCACATGTTAAGTGAATAAATACGCAGTAAGCCAAGGGTTAAATCAGAATTTCTTCCGGTATAGTAAATTAGCTGAATGCGTAATCGAGTAGCGATCGAGGAATATCCTGTGGAACATTCGAAAGCACGAAAATCCTACGGACGAATAATTCGTCGAGGTTGACCTCGCTAGCCTCCAATTATCGGTGCCCTGGGCACGTTAGGATCGAAGCGTATGTAGGTTAAAGTCTGCACCAGGTACATGCAAATGCTCTCAGAGAACTGTTAATTAAGGCTTGACACGACTCAAAAATTCTGACGTGCTTGGATATATTTTGATATCTATTAAAACCTGACTATTCACAGCTGTCGTTTTACAATTCACCTTTAAAACCTCGATCGACAAGAATAGTCCATGCAAATTCAAATAAAAATTCACTGCGATTACTTTGCAAAGTGAAAGGTTTCTGTGAGGGAGACTTGAACATTTTCTAATTTGTAAATTGGAATTTTTGTGAACTCTAAATTCATGAAAAGTCATAAAATTTCTAAATCTAAATTTTAATCCCTTAATATAAATATTTGAAAACTTCACAGTCAATCTGAAAATTTCAAAATCAATCTACTAGTTTGAAAGTTGAAAGAAAATCTGAAAACAGAAACCTGTTAAATTCTAAAAATTGATTTCCCAAAATTGGACGTACCCAAAATAACGTAGCAACGAAAGAGCTCGTTGACGGTGTCGATTAGTTGAGTGCACATAATCAATAAAATAAATGGTTTTCGTTGATCGAATATCAGTGACCCAAATAAATTCGGGCATGGTTCGGAGATAAAACATTTCACGTGTTTTCGAGAATCCATTTTTCCGGAACTATCCCGAGGATACGTTTCGATGACTGAGGCCACGATTTCGAATGGCGTATCGCGGTGTTCCGCAACAAAAGCAAACATTATCGATGCATATTTTTCATCTGGAATCGTTTTCTATCGACTGTCGCGCACGTTTACGAATTTGAATCTGAATGGTCGACGGCGCGACAAAAGCCGTCGCGTTTTCATTACGTCGCCATTTTATCGATGACTCGGTATCGTGCGATCGCTCTCGATTCGATCGAGTAATTTTTATTTATTTCGACACGATGTTTACTGTTAGTCGCCTCGAGCACCGGCAACGATACCATCGTATTATGCGTCGACCTTAATTGCAAGTTTTAATTAGCATGAACGGTGCATACTCAACCTTGTAAACATTTTTCGGTTCCCTCGTGCTTTTCCGCATCTGTGCGCTCGTATGAGATTTAATTGGAAAATTAGCCATTTTTGTAACGAGAAACGTTTGTTCCCTAAATTCCTTAGGTTCTCTTTGGCATCCATTTTCATAAGCGTTATCCCCAACAACGTAATACTTGATTATACCTGGTCTCCCTCTCGATGGGTAACCATATTTACTAATTAAGACCCGGTCCCTCAAGCGCCATTTACACCTTTAACGTCTCAACAGAGTGCACATCCGCTCGTGAATCCTTGGTTATCGCTGCACGAAGATCAAGTGAAAGACATTGATCCAGTTATTTTTAATAAGATTTCTATAATGCGGAAATTTTTAGAGCGTTTAATTTTTTCTAATTGTCTTCGCCTCAGCTTATCGCGTGCTCTCAAATCAATTTTGATCGCACATACCATTATATGCCAATTTATAGTTGTATGCTAATTATCTCTACGATTATATGCTAATTGTGCATACCATTATAGACACAATGTTCATCTATTATTTCAATTTCTACAGACGGTACGTGTTTAGAAAATTTCATATTGAAACAAGTTTGATTGTATTAATAGAAAATTAATATTATAATAATTTACAAGGACTTTCCATTCTTTTCTGTTGCTATCGTGTTGAGGTAGAGAGTTGAAATTTAATATAAAATGTTTACATCTGTTAAATAATAAATTGGTCATAAATAAGTAATCGCTAATAATTATTTTTTTATATCAATAGACAGAATGAATTATGCACAGTTGAACCTAACGTAACAATTTCAAGGAATAGTTCAGGTGATCTGGGTAACAGAATATCGATCCTCGGTGCACCTTCCGGTTTTCTAAACGAGCTCGGACCACGTTTCCGTCCACGGTGGTGTTACGAAAGGGAGGTCGAGGAGTCACTTGACTTCTCGAGGACAAGCATTGTCCTCCTCACTGGCTGCACAACGAAAGAATTCTGTGGACCGAAATGTTTCGATGCCATTGTCTCGCACTCTTAATTACAAATGGCTGCTTCACTCGATTCGACTTCCGTTTGCCACCTTTTTGCCCAACTACCCTTTGCAGAAATCTTTACGTCAGAAGTGCTTCTCGCTTTTCACGGATGAAAAGATATAATGGACTCTACAGTTTTTTCTTTTGGAGATAGCGACTTTCTCAAGGTTTCGAATTCTTGCTGTTTCAAATTCTTTGTGAGGATGACTTGAATTTTAGAACTTTTAGAAGACATAGCTGTTGTTTATTCATTGTTAATTGGGCTCTGGTATTCTTTTACTTAAAACAAAATCAAATTACAAGTGCTTCGTACGGGTACTTTCACTCAGGCCTTCAAACACAGATAAACAGGTCTTCAAACAACTTATGTCTCAGAGTCCTTAATGTTCAAATTTTCAAAGTCTCATATGCTCAAAATTTGAAATGATCAAAGTCTCATATACTCAAAGCTTAAATTGATCAAAATCTCAAATACTCAAAGTAGCACGTGCTCAAAGCCTCAAATGTTAAAAATTTCAAATAACTCAAATTCTCAAGTTCTCGATGTCTCAAAAGTTTAAATTCTCAAGTGGTCAAATAGTCAAATAGTCTAATAGTCTAATAGTCTAATAGTCAAATAATCAATGATCAAATGATCAAATGGTCAAATAGTCAAATAGTCAAATAGTCAAATTGTCAAATGGTCAAATTTCCAAATTTCCAAACTCCCAAACACCCTCTCAAATTTCAAATATCTAAATCTCCAAATTCCCACATATCCAAATATCCAAATCCTCAATGTTCCAACCCCGTGCTCCATAACTCTCTGTCACGGCAATGCACCGTACCACATTCGTTATGCACCACATCTTACGATCGGTGTCCAAGTAAGACGAAGTGTACGAGGAAGAAATAATAAATAACGAGTAGAAACCTGAATGAAAACACAGTGTAATCACAGTGGGTAGTAAACGAAGGCAAGAATGACGAAACGTAATTCGCTAACGAGCCACATACGCGTTCTCGTATAATAGAGTTCCGATCGATAAACGTGTCGAGATAAGAGGCGATCGAGGGCATTCGTGCGTGTCGAATGATGGGAAAGATCGCGAGCTCGGGCAACTTTCACGCGTGAGGTTATCAACGGGTTATATTGCATCTAAGCCGCTTTGATATGTTGCGGTTACCGCGATTATGCGTTAGCGGCGTGTAAAATAATTTCGATTATGTTTTCCATTGCAGCCCCTGCACGATCAACGCTCGAACGCGTACTCCGGCAAGGAGAGAAGACGAATTCCTGGCCTGAGCAAAGCGCAGAGGCGTATTAAAGCGTCAAGCACGCCGGCACTCTTGGATCGCGATGTGGAAAGGTGAGTTATTTTTCAATCCCATAATTCGCTCGTTCCCCATAAATTTGACTGCCACTTGCGATTTATACTTCCCTCGAAATTTTGGGGACATCTGATATATTGGTTGGGGTTTTAAGGAAGTGTTCTGAGGGGAAGGAAGCGATTTCGGTTTTTAACCCTATGTTCGTGGCACTACAGTCCACATATGATAAACTAGTTCACATGTGATAAACTAGGATCGTATTTACACTGCAATTGAAGTTTGCGTTCAACATTGATTGTAATCAAGGTGAACTGATAATGTACCTAACATGTGAACTTTCTTCAGCTACCCTTAGTAGGAATAATTAGCTAGCTGTGAATGGTGCAACTGTAGGTTATAGGGTTGTGGATAAAAATGGTTTGTTAGTTTGTAAGGGGAGATACGATTAAAAATCTTACATATGTTAATATGTAATATGTAATGATTTAATAAAATCAAATCTTATTATACAGTGCATCTGTCGTCAGTGTATCTGTTGTATCTTAATGTCTGTTACTTAATGCATCAGTAAGTACTGATCGAAATTTTCGTTCGATTACTAGCAATCTGTAAGTTTGCTTACCTTCCCGTAAATCATTATTTATAAAAATATTTTCATCAAAAATTTTTGTGAACTGAAACTTGCAGTCTTAGTGACAGTCTTACAGTATAACGTTCTCCAAGTTCATATAACGTTTTCACTTTTGTGAAAATAATCTTGTATTGCCAAGTCTCGAATTTTAATCAGTTCCACAAACTGTCGATCTGAGTTGCAAAGAAACCAATCTAACTTCCAGAACAAATCACACAAGTAAATATTTACGTCTGAAACAAAAGCTGCTTCAAGCTCTGTTCGGAATCACTTGATGTCGGCTTATTTTCGAAATTGTTACTCATCGATTTGCGAGTACCGAGAACACTGGGACCAATCGTGTCCGTTTGTTTTTGTCCGTCTGTTGAAACCAGTTGAATAGACGAAATACGAGTTTCCAAAGGCTGCCAAATCGTCAATCGCATAAAAAAGAGTTCTCTTTTTACAGGAGGTTATAACAGTACCTCGAAACAGGGGTCGAATTTTGAATACGCTAAGATTAATGATGGTTAAATTGAAGTTATGTTTAATACGTTCACCGTTGAAATTGAGATATTCTTCTTGAATGGCGAATTTCGTATAGAAGGGTTTAAAGTATAACGCAACATTTTTCATGCAGGATGATTTATCGTCCCGTGTTCGCACAGCCAACGGCTTTTGAAATCCCATTGTGGAATGGTCAACACACGTGAGCAGAATTGATGCCTGTTAAATTAAAACGTATCTGTTCGTGTATGATTTCTGCCATTCAAAAGTGAATGACCTTAACTACCTGTATGAAAATGTAACGTGTTAACTGCTGTTTGTTTATCGCGTTAAACGCTGCAGCAATTGTACACGACTTTCGGTTTGAAAAACATGAATCATATTTTCAACCAAAATTGTGGGGTACCAAAAGTATAGACCTTGTGGTGGCATTGAAACTTCTATATAGATCAAGGTATTGCATTGTAGAATTTTATGGCTCTTAAATTAGAAACTTTAGAAAACTAGTTTCGAAGTATATAATATTTGTTGAGACTCAGAGTTGAGACACAAACGTAAACTCTCAAAGACACCAAAAATTAACATATCCCCAAATTCGTAAACCATCTATAAGATTTCAAATCCTCAGAAATCCCTCAATGCCAATTTGGGAATCAGATTTTTTCTCGTACAATAATTGAGGATGAAGATAATTGGCGAAAAGAAAGCCAGAAACCCCAGGGTCAAAATATAATACAGCGATTACCATGGGGAAATGATCACCCTGTAAAATATCACGTGAAATATGATGTAACGAAGTGCGCGGAGTCGAGGTCGATATTTAGAAGTTCTTCGAGGGAAGGTTACGTCCTCTCCCCTTATTCACCGTCACTTTGCCTCGCACAAACACCTGGGGTGCACGAGATAAGTTATGAAACCTGTCCGTTTCATAGCTGATGGACTTTGCAGGGAGATTTGCCCGCTTCCGGAAGCTGTGTTTGCAGCGGACGAAAAATATTGTACAGAGGCAAATATTGGAAGAACGTAGTTGCCTCGTGTCTCGCGAGACACGACGATTTTATGCGTTCTCGATGGAGAACGAAATTCACTCTCGGCCGATGTTTCGGCTCGACGTAATCTCTAACGATGATAGAATATCGCTTTTACCACGGAATAAACAGAGATATTAATGCAGCCGGCGAGATAAACAGATAGCGGTGAGAAATGACCGCCATAAAATCCACCCTGAGACGTACAAAAGGTACTTAAGTCGAAATTAAGAGAATAATGCGGAGACTTATTGTCGGCGCACGGAGGAGTAAACTTCTGAAAATTAAGTACGTATAAAGAACGACGACTTGAACGCCGTGGGGAAAACTGCTGCTTATTGGAAAAAGAATTTTGATCCTGAAATATCTCGTCCGCGATACAGCCTCTTAATAGGATACTTTAAAACGTTAATTTAGAAGAATACGGGCAACTTTTAAATTTCACAGTTTAGTGTTGCTTTGTGATATCTATTCTAGCGAGGATAAACTGGGACTTCGGGATGAACATACAGCAGGATCATATTCATTCCCCAAATTCCTAGATCCTTAACTCCCTAGATACCCAAATCTCTACGTCCAAAAATTCCTATATCCCCAAATCCCACACATCCTAAATCCCACACATCCCAAATTCCACACATCGCAAGTTCCAAACATCCCAAATCCCACACATCCCAAATACCACACATCCCAAATCCCACACATCCCAAATTCCACACATCGCAAGTTCCAAACATCCCAAATCCCACACATCCCAAATCCCACACATCCTAAATCCCACACATCCCAAATTCCACACATCGCAAGTTCCAAACATCCCAAATCCCACACATCCCAAATCCCACACATCCTAAATCCCACACATCCCAAATTCCACACATCGCAAGTTCCAAACATCCCAAATCCCACACATCCCAAATCCCACACATCCTAAATCCCACACATCCCAAATTCCACACATCGCAAGTTCCAAACATCCCAAATCCCACACATCCCAAATCCCACACATCCTAAATCCCACACATCCCAAATTCCACACATCGCAAGTTCCAAACATCCCAAATCCCACACATCCCAAATACCACACATCCCAAATCCCACGCATCCCAAATCCCACACATCCCAAATCCCACTCATCGCAAGTCCCACACATCCCAAATCCTACACATCGCAAGTCCCACACATCCCAAATCCCACACGTCCCAAATCCTACACATCCCAAATTCCAAATCTTCCAAATCCCAAATCTCCCAAATCTCAACTTTCTCAAATCCCCTAAATTTTCAAGTCTTCAAATTTCCAAAATTTTCCAAATTCCGAAATCCCAAATTCTCTCAGTCCATAAATCTCTAGACCCCGAAATCACTAGATCCCAAAATCCCTAAATTCCTATATCCTGAGGTCCCCACATCCTCAACATGACTAACATAAAATTAAAAAATTCGCAAACCGGTCGCCCGCATAAATCTAATGCAGAATGCACAATTCTAACGTAGAGTCCATCAGAAATGTCCATAAGCACACACCATAAAAGAGCTAAGAAACTAGGGAATTTATTGCATCTCCAGACAACACAAAGCAAAAGTTGGTGAGGTCAAAAATGATTACACTCCGTGAGCAGCAATTTCCACTTTGCTAGAGGTCGTTCAAAGGGCCGACGCATCGGAGAGTTAAAAATAGGTTTAAAAACGAGAGAGAAGAGGGAAGAAAGAAGGGAAAAAAAATGGTTGATCGAAGAGGCTCGGGGATAGATCAAAGGTTCCCGGTTGATCGTGTCCAGGTCCGTTTGAAGTGCTTCCTCCTGCTTTCCAGCTTTCCGTCGTGACCTCTTGATCCCTTGGACGTGTCTCTTAGACGGGGTTGTTTGCCGAGGCAAGAATAAAGACGTTACTTCGAATGACCCCGTCTCTCGGTTCCATCGACTTTGTACCTGGACGAACATTCATCCGGTCGTTGCTCTAATTACAACCTGAATAGAGATTCGCCGGCGACATCCTCTTTAGTTTCACGGAAGCGTACGGCTGCTTCCGGTCCGTCTCACCCTGAACCTTTTCCCTCGTTAATATTTCACGAACAAGTTGATGTTCTTTCTTCTCGATTGTCCCCGAATATAATACCACCCTTTCAACGTTAATTTCTTCAAACCCGTATTTTTCAACTACAAACCTTGCTGGATTCGCTCTTGGAGATATTTTGTCTCCTTCAAATATTTTCGAAGATTATTTCCTTTGATACGACTTGTTCGATTTTATTCGGTTTTGTCAAGGAATTTTTCTATTGACTGTTATTTTCTTATTGATATTTCTTGCAATTGTTCGAAATTGAATGAAAACATATTTTTTCGAAGTTGACCAAGGAAGTTCGTTCTTTCCAGGCGAATACTGGGATCACAAGAGAAGAATATGGTTTTACAGAAATGTCTGCGTTATTACTTCAATTCGAAAGGTTATTTGTTGGTAGAACTTCGCCGTTTTATAGAGCTAGTAACAATTTAGCGGAACGTTAATTTTCTTCGCTTCGAAACTTCTCGCAGCTTGCTATTCCATACAACGAGACGTGCCTTGGCATTATTCTAATTCGAAGTTTTGGAGAACGGTAAGTTCTCCTTTCTTCACTTCGCTACCACTTGCGCTCTGTTTAACGGCGAGTTCCACTCGAACCGAATGTTTCGCGTTTAAAATCCCGAATTTCGAGGCAACTAATCGATTCCGAGGAAAAAATGCCAAGCGCCGGAATTAAATTTAATTAAAAGTTTCTCGATTCCGATGAGATTGAAAAACCGAGATGAACTTTCAGACTATTTGACAGTTGTACTTTCGAACTTTCTCTTTCTTCACCTATTTTGTATATTTTCATGCTATTACTTGTTATACTTTTTACCCTCTATTTTTAT